CAAGGCATGGATGTGAGGTTAATATTATTAAAGTGGATGGGGGCAAGGGGCCAATTTATTCTTGTAAAGATAGATTGAAGTTTTAGTTTCCATAAAAGGCGACGAATGCCTAAACTAACCGAGTGTGTGTTCGCGTATCAAGGCCTGCGTTGCTTAGAACAGATATTGAAGATTATATTGGCTTAGGTATGTGATTAGAAAGTACGAAACCTTTAGACGGAAAACGTGTCTCGAGATGTAGGCGTACGGTGCGGGATAATGTTGAAATGGATCGTAAGGAAAAAATGTGTGAGGTATCTGTGTTTTTTTTTTAGACTGAGGATAGGGTCCAGGGTATTTAACTAAGAATAATAATAAAAAGAAGCCTGGTTTATTTTGGGCCGTAGGAGAGCATTTCAGTGGAAGATGAGACAAACAAGCGGGTTCGCCATCTTGCTTTTGTTCAATAACAATACGGTTTATGAATACCAAATTCAACTCTTATTTAATTTGCATGCGAATGTTTTGTGTGAGTTTCGTAATTAATGTTTCGCTTATAATTAAATAAAGCACTTTTCGTTGCTATTGTCATGGGAACTACATTTTGTTAGCGAATGGTAAAGCATTCTTATGTTTTATACAAGATCTTACCAGAGACTGTGTATTTACAGCCCCGTCGCAGACCGTAAGAACATATCGCGTAAATTATTCAGTGTAAGAACTTTAACCCATTATTTTTACCTGTAAACTGCACGTACGTGTAAGCCAAGAGAGCGTAGTTGTACGTTTAATTACATGCAGGGTAAGTCAGATGAGACGGTGCATTGTCGCTGAGTCAGGGAAATCCGAATAGCATGGACAGATTCCTGTTCTAAAATCTCGGTCAACGCTGTACAATCTGAGCTTCTGACAGCAAATAAAACGTATGAGTACACTGATACTTTAATACCAGAAGTGGTCCGCATTAATTTTTATAATATTTTTTTTTCAAGTACGCTGTTAATTTGAGTGTCAGAAAAAATTACACATTTTTGTCTCAAAAATCTGCGTCTGTCCCATTACGAAAATTTAACCTTTTCTGTATGAGATACGAGATTCTTACGGCTGTGAGTATGTCCGTGGTTGTCTACTGGGTTGTCACTCACCGTGTACATTTGTAGGTGGATGCTAACGTTTCGGAGAATCATACTGCCACCATCTTCAGGAATTTCACACGACGTCACAACTCCGAAGACCATCATGGACACAACCTTGTCTGCCAAATTTGTTGGACGTTGTTTTCGGATGTTCGGGGGGGGGGGGAGGAGGAGGAGGAAGATATTGGTTGGACCCAATCTCGTTCGTATTTTATCTTCCTGAGGAACGTGAAAAAAAAAAATTAAAAGTTTCAAGTCATACTTAAATATCCGCGCAGACAAAACTTTGTAGGTTTCAGTGATTTCGCAAACTTTTTTCTCAGTTTCTTCCTCTCCTTTCGAAAGTCAGGGTTTTCCTGTTTCCTGCTACTTCTCTCTCTCTCTCTCTCTCTCTCTCTTCCTGTTATTTTCGCCGATATTTCTCGTCGCCGGGACGTGTGACAACATGACACGTGATAAGGATATTCAGTATCACGTGCCCCAATTCTTCTCCCTCAGAAAATCGACGTTGCTCTTAAGAAGTGTTCACTGTGGTGTGTGTAAGGGAGAGTTTCAGCTTACGCCACTCAGATAGATTCGTGATCTCAACGCGTGAGATTTATTCGACGGATAAGTCAGGGATGTTGTCCCGAAATGTTGTCAAGTAAAACGCGTTTGTGTGACTTCGTATCGAAGATAAACATTGGGTAATTTATTCAGTTTATGCACATCCGGAATAGGCTTACATATTTATCCCGATCACAAACTACGTAGATTCTAGTAGGATAGCGTTATTTTTATTTCTGTGAAACAAAAATTTTTATATCTTAATTGCGTCATGTTTGTGTTTTATTGATACAATATTTTTATTTTCCGTCTATACACAAACTTAAAATAATGTTGTTTAAAATTATTTAAAATTATAACATTCTCAGTAGACACTGCATCATGTTACATTTTTTGTATTCGACTTACAAAAAAATTCGAATACAAAAAAATAAACAAAAAAAAAACAAAAAACAAACAAATGTAACATGATGCAGTGTCTACTGAGAATGTTATAATTTTAGATAATTTTAAACAACATTATTTTAAGTTTGTGTATAGACGGAAAATAAAAATATTGTATCAAAAATTTTTAAATCTAATGTGTGGATGTGTCTTATATGTAGCACGCATAGGTTAGATGAGAAATTCGCACACAGATTTATGCGGAAAGGATTAAGCATAGACAAATTAGGAATGCACCCTCATATTTGAGGACAATATTAAACCGAATCTTGAAGACTGTGCATACGGTCTAGATTCATCTGGTTCAGAACAGCGACCAGTGGCGGATTCTTTTGAACACGATAATAAATCTTTTACCTTCATGAAAGGAAGGGAGATTTTTGAGCAGTGAATGAAATTATGCTACCTTTTCTGTGACTCCAGTAAAGGGATGTTTTAATGAGGTGAAGGCTATGAATGGTCATTGTGTTACGGTTACCTGATAGCCTTACGTAGCAGTGTGAATCGGGCTCAGAGTTTTTCTAAAAAATATATCAGGAGTAGGGTGTCAATAAATATAGTATACCGCCACTTTATTTCTCTCGTGGGTGTTCGCGTGTCACACCAAAACAAATACGTATATGTTGACCTATATGGAACCCTAAACAAGAAACAAATAACCTAGAATGGAAAGGAAAATCTAATCTTGGAAAGAAGAAAATAGAGAAAATTGTCTTGATACCCCATAATGGAATACGTCAGATAATATTAGCTTCTATTTTTATATCAGTTTACACTAGGTATTCGACATGATGTGTGTTGTAAGGGTTGCATAGTAGTTGCTCCTCGCCTCTTATGTGTATGGGATAAGAAAAGGTTGGGTTCTTGCGACATAGAGACAATTTGTCCTTATAGAGTAAACAACATCGATCCATGTGTGTGTATATAACCTACTGCAGGACCGGAGAAAGTACTGTAGGAAGAATTTCGTATGAAGATGGCTGTCTTTTGGGTCGTTGCGCCGTGTAGCCCGATGTCCTTGCTGCCTCCACCATCAGGGCGGCGTTATGGTGAAATTCAACCACAGTAAACGGCGCTGAAAACCAGAATTCGACCATCTTTCATATTCTTCGCCGTTATAAACTGGAATCTTAGCAGGATTAATTATCTCTGTGTGATATTTCAATATTTTTGTTGGGTAGAGAAGTGCTGATACAAACGCAGTTCCAGTTTTGTTTGCATGTGCAATAAAATTGTTATTCTGTGTACGTGGTCTTGTTGTCTGTGTAACGCGGTTAAAACCATTTCAACTGTATTTATTGGATAATATTTTCAGAACACTAGACCACATCGGCTTTCTTGAATGTAGAATTTCGTTTGTTTATTTATTTATGGTCTAATAAGCGCTCAAATTATGGCCGTGTGTAGTTTACACAGGACTGTACGGCGCACCATTGTGGGAATCCTTTGTTAAACTGAGAAACATCCAAATTATGTAATCATTATATGTATATTCACAGTACAGTTCGAGAATTTAATATTTGCTGTGTCAAGGTTGGATACCTGTAACCATGTTTAACTGATCCAAGATGGACTGTTGGTATGGAATTAATGAATTATTAAAGTCGTGAGAAAATAAATAAATGGTAAAGCTAGATCACATCAATACCATTTTCCTACAATTTTTACCACTCTGCACAAGATATCGTTGTCTGTTTTATGTCTGGAGAGTGTAAGGTAGTGGTTTGCAATCTGTGGCTCTCGGGTTTCAGTGACCCTAATTCATATTCTGTACGGAACAACTGATATATATTTATTTTACAAACTACTATAATAGTACATTTCCTCACACAAAGTACTGAAGCCATAAACTCAACAGTAATTTTTTCTTAATAACAGCAGCAATTTCTGATGTGTATGTTTTTTGTTAATTATAAATATAATATAAAATTGTATTTAATGTAACCTTTTTAAGTACAATGAAAGGAGGTTTTGAAGCTTTTTAAATTTATCCCCGTGTATAAATGTTTCTCACGCACAAATGAATAATTTTATTTTAACCTTGTGGATCGTAATGCTGAGTAAACTTTGAAGGTGGTTACAAACTCGTTTAATGATGAAAGTAATACGTCTATTCGAATCCTCAGCACATGCAACCATAAACAACAACACAAACCAAATGGTTACTCCCATTAGAACGTCACGACTCCTATGGTCTAAACACACTTACATAACCCTTTAATAAAGACAGCTTACCTGAGATACAGTATCCATGGCGGAATATTATTGAAATTTTGTTTTTCCTCAGGCATTCGAAGAGTTGGAGACGTTGTTGGCGAAGCATGCCATTTGCATCGCTGTCAAGGAGAAGTTGGTAAAGGATTCAGGAGTCGCTGATGATTCTGCGTATGACAGCATAGTGCTGAAGTTGCTGACCAAACCCCGCGCCAGAGGTGAGTTTTGATTTCGTTGTATCAGAAAACCACAGTTACATTAGTTCATGGAGACTGGCCAGTTCTTTGAAAATAGTCTAAGCACTGATACTTCACTGCACCTTCTTTCTTCTGTGAAACTTTCTATGGGCCTTATATATTTTTACGATCTGCATATTTAACAACTTGCCAGGTACATAGTTCAAACGGTAGGCGTATTCTCTTCATCCGAATAAACATACCAATTTAGAATTTATGTAAAACATTACTGTACTTGACACTCGTGTACGTACTTGTTTGTTGGGTCTCTATGAGGGGTTATAAATTGACTGAATATCAAGTTAAAATATGTCGATTAAAATTTCAATTATTCCAGCTCAATTACGCTGAACTTCGGGACTACTAATTAATACGGGCATGTAACAAAGCTAGTCGAATGGAGATTTAAATAGACTTTCCATTAATGAGTACAGGCATAAAAAGTATTACTCGGTTATTTTGATAGTTTGATAGTAACATGGTCGAAAAATCAATTGCCCAAACTTGCGTACCAAATAATTGGTTTGTTTTTTGAAGATTTATAAGTATAGTGAATGGGGCTTTTGTAGTATTGTCAAAAGTCTTTCTTTTTTTTTCCCTGCTGATTCGTATTTTATTTAGAAGAGGTCCACTGTTTGATTTCGTGGCTAGTTGGCTGGCCAATCCAATTTTAGCTTTCTATCAGTCTCACCAGGCAGATTTTGGGACAGTATTTAAAATAAGTTGTATAACTTCTGGTTGCAGAATGCGTGTAGGACGTTCGATGGATATCGTATTGTTGGTTGACACTTATTTTGTAGAGGACATTCAAACAGATTTAGATTTTTTATTTAGTGTTCTGTCTGACGACAGGTCCATATGAACAGGATCCTTCCATCCTTTTCTCTTCTCGGACTGGGACCTGTTCATATACGTTCTTGGCAGATGATCCAGAAGTGGTTTGCCATTGCCTTCTTCTGTGTGTGAATGGAGTAATTGTTGGGATGCCACAGAGAAACCGGGGAAGCCCCCGGAGGAAAACTCCGCGTTGCCTAGACCACGGCTTTGCCCAACACAAGTTATAAATTCGAACCCGACACCCCAGGATTACAAGGCCAGCGTTCTAACCGCTAGACCACCGTGGCGGTCAAAAATATGTGTTAACAAATTTAAAAATAACATGGAAATTATCAATACGGAGTATGAACATCTACATTAAAATCTGCCACCTGATTCAACGTCACCGATATTAATTATTCTGATCTTGTTTGTCCTTGTCATAAAACAAATAGAATGACATAAAGTTGATTTTTTTGGTCTTCGACTTTGTGTCGGATAACAATCGATCGATGAATGTATCTGTGGAGCCGTGTGTAATTTCTTATAATTTTGCACTTAATTCTTATACGAAGCACTTTGGGTGAGGGGTGTTAACTCTAATCTCATGTAATAAATTTCTCTGTGGGTTTAATCCAGACCAAGAGATCGGCCTTAAAGGAAGTACTACTTATTTCAACCTCACAGTAAGAGCAGTGAGTGGTTTTATTACGTTGATACGCGTTTGCTGTGGCATGAAAAGTCTGCACGTAAACACCTGAACAGAAAAAGCGAGACAAGATACAAAAACACAAACTTTGTTCATAAAATCTGAACGGAATGGTCGAATTTCTTCTGGAAGTATAAGTTTAGGCGGTAATCAAGTTTTAATTTTTGGGAAACTTTTCGATATCTCGTGGTTTCTAGCGTAGGATTAGAACAAAGAAGATTGTTTGTTATAATGGAAGTTTCAGGTCAGGACTTGCTTTCGTCTTGTTTAACGAAGTTAAACGCCTTTTGCATCCACATATTAGGCTGTTCATGTAAAGGAATTTTATACTATATTTTATCTGTGTTCGGATTACAGAACTGCTAAACGTATTCTTCGTAATATATCCACATAACATTTTTATAACAGAAGTTAATAGCACCTAAATTAATTTGGTTACTTTCCACTAGAATTTAAGAAATCCTGACCTAATGTAGTTTGGCTGTAAGAATGTAACATCGAGTAGATGATAAATGCCAGTATAATTACGTGACAGTTTCTGGCGATGATGATATTTGAATTCGACCGTTTGATTATTAATGTCGTGAATAACACCAACAAATTCATTTGCAGGAACACATTAAAAATTAGACTAAGAAGAATAAAAACATTTGAGACATGAAAATTTATAAATTGGCCTGACGTGGTTCAAATGTCAAAGTGTCCAGTGTGAACCTTTACTCGTATTAAGTGTCCTCGAAGAAGACGTTGTTTTTGTTAAAAAAAAGTCCAGAAAATTTGTAATGACATTTACAGCAATGGCTCACCTATCTGAATTAAGTGTCCTCGGCTAATTTATTCTGCCTATGAAAACGTTAATAATAAGTAAAACATTTAGGTCTCTTCGTTTTCAGCGAAGTCTCCTAAAATGTAAGGAATTAAAAATAAAATGATAATTTCGCCAACTATCAAATTGAGAGAAAAACGAGGTAATGACAGGAGTTATCCAATATTCTTAGTATATTTTCGGTTTTATAGAGTCAGTCGATGTGATGATAGTCGCCACATAGTTTGTAAGATAGGAAGGCACGTACGTACGTGTAAACCATTCCTCCCGATGTATGTAATTAGTTAAAGTTCCTGTTGTTGAAATATTTCCGGGGGCGCATGAAGAATGGTTATGAAAAGGCAACTTCACCTCTGCAGAAAACAAAGCCTTTCTTGTAAACGGCACCAGCTGCTGTTTCACGAACAATATGGCGTTTCTGACATGCAATCCTCGCTTTTCTTCCATTGTGCTAGCAGTTAAGTTCCGCAAGGGATTTCGTAAAGCGAGATTCTACTCAGCATTTTCAAGAAGTTTATTATTATAATTAGGGTTTACGGTACCGAACTACAGAAAAAAAAATCCCGAACAATTAGAAATCAACAATTTTATAGGCCTGAATTAAAAGATAGATGCAATGAAACGATGGATTATTACATGCATCACATAAGTACAAAAAAAATCCATTAGGAAAAAAAATTATCCTTTGTAACTTTTTCTGTAATTTTAATTGATCCGAAGACACTGACCTGAATAGGATCGTATATTTTATGGGGTCCGAAGGAGAGATGATGGCGATATGATTTGGAAGGACTTGCGTTTGAATTAAAAGTAAAATAGTTCTTTTAAAGATATCGTTCAATGCACAATCACAATTTTACGATTAAAACTATTAGGTCGTGTGACAGGAACATTACTTTATATGGCTGGCTGTTATTGTCGGTATCTGGAAGAAAAAAAATCCGTATTTACCGTTAATTTCTAATTTTGGCTGGATGATTTTGGTTGTGGTTGATAGTGATTGGTCAGAACTTGTAATTTACATGTTACGGTTTAGATTTTAATTTATTCGTGCGTTATTAATCACTGATTCAGACTGACGAAAAATATTATTTTCACTCATATCGTTAGTTCCAAAGAACTTCTCGCAGCTTGAAATCGCTAATTATATTTGTCACTATTTAAAAATGCGCAGGTCGTATTTTCGAATAATTACCTCCTTATCGAGTGCGTTCTGATTCCCACCTTTCGTCTTCCGGAAACATTTTTACCTCCAGCATGCAGCTAAAGTTAGTTCATTATTACGCTATCAATTTCTTTCAGTGTCTGAGTTTTAATACAATGAGAGTTAACATCAAAAGACATAAAATGTTTTAAATAATGATATTATCTTATAAGGAATTGCGCGAGAAAGAATAAGGAAACGAACTTAATTTGAAAAATGTGACGACAATACTGATAAGAAAATATTTGTTTTGTCTTTGTGGTAAAATTGGCTGTGGTCCCACAGTTGTTTTACGTGTCAATCCTTGAAACAGCATACTTCCCTTTAAGAGGCTGGCCACGTAGGTTAATAGACCATACGAACTGGTAAATAGTCATATGGCGTGCAGGATTTCGTTTGCTCTAGTACACGAGATACGATTCTGTCCAATTTATTTTACGTCGTCTGCTTCTCACGTCCCATTTTCTTATAATTTTTGACGTCAAGGTCACGAGGCCTTGACGATGATTGACTAGCGACTGAAATCACGTGTCTTGTCTCCTGGCGCCTAGTTACGTGATGCCTCTCGCAGAGGTCAACAAAACTTTTTTTACGCTTCGAATAAGAGGAAAATTAATGCGTGATTCGTGGCAATCATGAGTCCGTGTTAGAATGTACATCACGTGAACTAGCATCTCCCAGGACGTTGTATAGGAACACCTGACTCTGCTTCGACTTATCGCTTTCTCAGTAGCTCAGAACCACGGTCTACTAACACCTTGCGTAAACAGAAGAGAGTTGCTAATCCCTGACAGCAAAGTGAGGGCGAGGAAACCATAAATCTGCCACCAAACTCCATCCAGCATCCACATAACCCTCTTCAGCTATGCATGTCATCCTCAGTGAATAGCATATTGTAAAATACATGTACAGATTAGAAGAATGTTGAATATTTAACGAATGGAATGGAATTAAACCGAGGATAAGTGGTCATGACACGAAAATAGAACGGAAGACAGATTGAATGTCACAGATGGCACTGGAATGTAAAACGAATGGCGAAATATTTTCAGAAATGCTTCAACTTTTATTTTAAATATTGAACACTAAATTTAGTATATATATTTTTTTTCTGTATATACTCAGAGGTTCAGAAAGACGGTCGGATTCACATTGTGTTGTGCGTCGTTTAAATAATAGAGAATAACTTACATTTAACCATTCAATGTCACACAAAATGAGTATGAAATAGCATTTGTGCTACATTTTCGTTTTACTGAAATAAGCTTCCGAAACACACTGAAGAGTTCAAGGATGGAAGACACACACACACATATATATATATATATATATATTTTATTTAGTGTTCTGTCTGACGACAGGTCCATATGAACAGGATCCTTCCATCCTTTTATCGGACTGGGACCTGTTCATATACGTTCTTGGCA